ATTTTCCATTTCTGCATACGTCATACTTGTGTTTATGATAGCACCACATATACCAGCTGTACAGCCATTTATGTCTACAGGAGGCTGCATGCAGCCCCTGGTCTCAGGGCCGTGGATAAGGGGGTACTACCAGTCCTTTTGTACAGGGCCCAGGACAGCAGGGGGCCTGCAGCTGGGTGAATCGGATGTGGACATTGAGGGTGATAGGCACAGTAGGGGTTGGGGGGGGGGGGGGGCAGTTACTGGAATTGTATGGCTCTCTCTGCAGCAGCTGAAAACTGACTTCCTCTCCTCTCCCTCCCACTGGCTTTTAGCTGCTGCAAAGGGAGGCATGCAGGGGATCGGTTCCAGTAATTGCCCCCCCCCCCCCCCGCCGCACCCATCACCCTCCCTGTGCACCATACATCTCCCCATGCTGCTCAGGCCCCCCTGTGTGCCCCCACCCCCACAGTGCTGCTGGCTTCCCTCCTATCCTTTCTAGCGGCAGCTGCAAGCACACAATAGGATCCCTCAGGATGGAGAGTGGGGGAAGGGTTCAGTAAATATGTCACATTTACCAGCCCCTTCCTTTCCTGAATGAGCACAATGAATGATTGGAACCAATCACTCACTGTGTTCATTCATAACTGAACCCTAGTAAACAGTGTTTTTTTTTTCGGGGGCAGGGCCCTGTAAGGGTTGCTGTATGGGGCCCCGTGGTTTCTAACAGCAGCACTGTCTGGTCTGCCCAGGAAGGGGGGGAGAAACATCCAAATTTACCAGCTCAGGCGACTGTTTTCAAAAGGCCTAATATTCCTTAGAAAAAGAGGAGCCAGGGTTTTCCTTTATTGGCATGCAAAATTTGCAACATTTCTATTTATTATGAATGTACAAAGTAACGCGATACATAAAAATCTGAAACACAACAGTAACTAAATATGACAAAATATTTGTAAATAAGTTGCAATTAATAAGAAAAGAACGGAACGACAAGCAGTACAATCTGACATCCAATCAGAAGTCTCCTCTCCTTGATCTAACTTGTGGAAGTAGAAATGGGATTTCTTGCAGCAGGTGAATGCAATGTGTACATCACTCCATACAATCTGACATCCAATCAGAAGTCTCCTCTCCTTGATCTGACTTGTGGAAGTAGAAATGGGATTTCTTGCAGCAGGTGAATGCAATGTGTACATCACTCCATACAACTTCATCACGGACCGATGAGGATTTAGAGATTGCTTTGTATGGGCCCCCACCCTATTCATATGCATTCTGCATTGTCTTCATGTATATAAACAATGACAAATGTCTTTAATTCCGATGGGAAGGGCTGAAGGCAGGAGAAGACTGAAAATACTGCAAAATTAAAAAACTGTACTTTTTTACAAAAACAATAACTAAAAAAATACTTGACCTCCGGGGGGTTTGATCAGGGCATTTTTTGGTATTCAGCACTGTGCTACTTTAACTGGTAATTGAGCGGTGATGCAACACTGTACATAAATGGCATTTATATAATTGTTTTCACACAAATAGAGATTTCTTTTGGTGGTATTTGGTCACCACTGCGGTATACAAACAAGAAAAGACCAAAAATTTTGAAAAAATGCATATTTTTCTACTTTCTGTTGTAAAACATATCCAATAATAAAATAAGCAAATTTCTTCATAAATTTAGGCCAAAATATATTCCTCTACAAATAAAATCTCAATAAGTGTGCATTAACTGGTTAGTGTGAAAGTTATAGCGTCTACAAACTATGGTATATATATTGGAATTTATGCAGCTATCACACTATACTGGTAATGGCGGTGATCAGTAACTTATAGTGTGACTTTGATCATGTGGCGGGCAATCTGGCGCTAACAAACACTGGCTGGGAGGGACCAGGGGCGGACTGACCATTTGGAAACTCAGGCAGTGCCCGAGGGCCCGGGGTCAGTAGGGGGCCCCATGAGATGCCCCTGGTACCTTTTTCATAGGCTTTTTTGAGTTTGGGCAAGGACACAGGAGCCCCATGATCCCCTATTGCTCGGGGGCCCCATGAGTTGTCAGTCAGCCCCTGGGAGGGACATTAAATTACTGACATTCATGTCGCTAGTGACACTAATAAAGTGATCAGTGATAATACTGTACACTGTGCTAATGATACTGGCTGGAAGGGGTTAACATCTAGGGGCAATCAAGGGGTTAACTGTGTGCCTAACAAGTGCTACGTGTGTAATGCTACTTTTGCTCACAGATCTGGCTGTTTTTTTCTCCCTGAATTTATAGTTGATTTCAAGGGGCAGAAACAGCCAGAGTTCTGTGTGTTTGCAAACATGGAACTCTGTGCTGTGATTGGCCACAGCCAAGGTTGGGCTGTGGGAGAGTTAGACACTCACCAGTCCTAAATATCTTAGTTAGGTTGAAGTTGAGTTGTGGAAGAGATAGATGTCTCTGGGAAGCTGAGTTGTTAGGTTAGGTGTCTCTGGAAGGTTGGGTTGTGGAAGAGTTAGGTGTCTCTGGAAGGTTGGGTTGTGGAAGAGTTAGGTGTCTCTGGAAGGTTGGGCTATGGAAGAATTAGATGTCTCTAGGAAGGCTGGGTTGTGGGAGAGGTAGGTATCTCTGAGAGGTTGCGTTGTGGAAGAGTTAGATGTCTCTGGGAAGTTGAGTTGTGGAAGAGTTAGGTGTCTCTGGAAGGTTGGCTTGTGGAAGAGTTAGATGTCTCTAGGAAGTTGGGTTGTGGAAGAATTAGGTGTCTCTGGAAAGGTGAGTTGTGGAAGAGTTAGGTGTCTCTGGAAGGTTGAGTTTTGGGAGAGTTAGACGTCTCTGGGAAGTTGGGTTGTGGGAGAGTTAGGTGTCTCTGGAAGGTTGAGTTGTGGAAGAGTTAGGTGTCTCTGGAAGGTTGGGTTGTTGAAGAGTTAGGTGTCTCTGGAAGGTTGAGTTGTGGGAGAGTTAGGTGTCTCTGGGAGGTTGGGTTTTGGGAAAGTTAGGTGTTACTTGCAGTTGTGCTGAAGAGACAGAGAGAAGGAAGAGATAAAAACTAAGCACAAAAGTGCCGAATAGTTCTCTTTTCAGGTCTTCCTCTCTGTAACTTCCCTTCTTTCTATAACATTCACCTAATCCTAACACAACGTAACCTCTAAACATTATTATGAAGGGATGTGAGGAAATCTTAGGTTGGACACTCACCAGTCCTAAATATCACCCTTCAAAAAAACACTTAAAGTAATTCTGTGCCCAGACTATACCTATTAAAATATTTATATATTTTGAACAAGCAAAAATACCTTAAAAATAAGTCTTCATTTTGCTCTGTAGCTATAGGCATTGTGGAGATAACATATCTCCTAATTTCTCAACAAGGGCCCTGAAATCTCTGCTCCCCTCACATTCTTTTCTATGAAAGCAGTACTAGCAACATGCTAGACTTCTAATATAAACAAACTGCAGGTGCTGTAAGCTGTAAAAACTGACTTAAACTCGAGTCTCTGTTGTGCTCAATGAGAATGAATTACTTCACAGTACGTACAGCTAGAGAGATCAGTGGGAGCTTGTTCTAAAACTCTTTTAGGCCTAGTTCACACATGTGGTAAAGAGGCAGTAAAAACAGGAAGATTCTTGGAATTTTAACCACAGTCAACGGGACCACGCCAGAACCACTTGCCAAATGATTGGGTTGTAGTTGCTGCTCTGTATTTTGAAGTAAAATTCCCATTTGGATATAAAAAACAGGCATTTAGGAGGCAACACTGTTGCCTGTAAACCAGCTCTAAATCACCTCTGAAAAGGCGATTCACTGTGGTGTATTTAGAACCACCACCACATGTGTTAACTGCTTCATAAAATGTATGTATAGCCAAGCTTTATTTTTACCATTGGAGAAATTTCCCTTCACTTCCTGTCTTAACAATACAACAGATAACTAGTGGAAATCTCTTAAAGTGGGGAATCCCTCATATACAGTTTTTCCCAGAACAGATTTCCTTTTTTGAAGATTTATTCCCTTACTCTTCTTCTGGGTTCAACTATAAAATTTTTGATTTACCTTCACTTTCTGATGAGTACAAATAGGGGGGTAGTTCTACCCAATGGGGTCACATACAGCAGAAAAACATTAAGAGAGGGTCTAAGCCAGTCTTTTTCAACCTTTTTAACACAGGAATTCTTGAAACTTGAATTTTCCAGTCTCAGGGAACCCCTGCTAAAAAAATACTATATCTACAACTCTTAATACATTAGTGTGATGGTCAGTGGGAAGAATGCTTCTTACATCATGGTGGTCATTGGGAGAAATAAGCCCCTATAGATAGCTAAACAGATCAATGGTGTAAGTGGGAACTTATCTGATTTGTGAAAATTGGTCATTGCTCAAGGAACTCCCAGCAACCTCTGGAGGAACCTTAGGGTTCCATGGAACCTTGGTTGAAAAACCCTAGTCTAGGCCCTTCCCACTCTTACCAAAACTAGAAAAAAGCCTAGGATTTGCCAAGGGATTCACTTTAAGAATGTGTAAAAGCTTTACTGTCCATAGTCTGGGCACAGCTGCACTTTAAAACCCAATTAGTGAAGGACCCAAGTACCATCTCTACCTTTACTACCATCTTCACTCCAGGACCTGGCTGTGAGCAGAATTTCCTGATTCCCTTTCTATGGAGGGCACATGTCATATATTCTGATGGTAAATCCTCTAGGAGGCAGTGACATCATAATATGTGACATCATGGTCCTTATGTCACTGCGTTTCTAACAGACTTTCCATTGGAATATAGAAAGAACACAGCCCAGAGATGGGAATTGACTGTTCAGCTCACAGCAATGACCTGATTGTCACAGTCAGTCTGGGGGCAGTTGGAGATCTTCCCGCCAGATTAACAGACCCCAATAAAGCCCCAAAAAGGGAAGTAAACCCCACCTCTCTTTTAACACTTAGCTTTTAGTTTTCTCTTTAAGTTCTATATTTGGAGGTGATTGCAGGATCTGCATGGCTTCACTGCATCTCTTGAACTACTGCCCATATTCTATGTTCATCCCACTAGATCGTGGTTGATGTGTTTCCAGAAGTTGACATGATAGAGGAGCTCCGGCCATAGCGAGACACGATTTCCTTGCTGATGAGACCCTTGCCGGCCATGATCCTGAGGAAGCTTTGTCTGAACTTTTGGCCAATGAAGGCGTAGAGAATTGGGTTGATGCAGCTGTGGGAGTAACCAAATATTTCGGTCACAGAGATGGCCAAGTCCAACCTGTCCCGGAGCTCACATGTTTCATTGATGTAGCTTGTCCTCATTAGCGAGTCCACAATAACAGTGATATTGTAAGGAAGCCAGCAGATCAAAAAGACCAGAACTACTGCCAAGATTACCTTCATGGCTCGTTGTTTCTGCATGCTTTTGGTCTGAAAAAGAGTTTTGATGGTAAAGCCATAGCAAAAGAGCATGATAAGCAGAGGTATGAAGAATCCAGCCAAGTGGCGTCCAATTCTTATGATGATCTTCCAATGGTATGTGTTCTCAGCACCAATGTCCTCATGGCAGATAAAACCATTTTTCGGGCTCAAAAACACAGTCTTAAACAAGATGGTGGGAAGGGCTATAACAAAGGAAAATATCCAGATAGAGAGGGAAATGTACTTGACCCACTGCCTCTTCTGTGTTACGGCCTCTGTGGCATGAACAATAGCCAGGTATCGATCCACGCTTATACAAGCCAGCAGCAGGATCCCGCTGTAGAAGTTGACCTCCTGTAGTATACACACAAATTTACACATGAAGATCCCAAAAACCCATTCATGGGCTTTGTAAGCCGCCCAAAAGGGCAGAGTCACAGCAAACATCAAGTCGGCAATGGCCAGATTCAGGAGGTAGACATCCGTGGACGATCTCTTCAGCTTGTTGTGCCAAATTACTAAAATGACAAGGCTGTTGCCAACTACATTGAGAAGGAAAACTATGGAGTACACCACAACATATATATATTTGTTCACGCTCTCTGGGGGCTTACAAGGGGCTGCATCAAATGATGGGTAATAGGAGGTAGGAACATCTGTAAACAGGTCATCAAGCCAGTCCAGGTCCCCGCTGGATAACTTGGCCATGTCTGTCCTTTGAGCCTATACAATGATACAGGAAAACAATTAAATGAGGTAAATCTTATAGAACAATTTTGCATTCGCTTAACAAAGATATATCATACACTTTATTTATATACAACCTATTTTTTTTTTTAGATTTCTACAGAAAGTTTAACATTTTAATCCCTTGATGATTCTGTATGTCAAGCTTAAATGATGGAGATCATCAAACAAATTTTAATTTTACACAAAGAGGAGGGTAAAACAAAATGCAGTTTTTAAATGATGATTTTATTTATTAACCTCTTGCTCTCCAGAGGATTTACCCCCCTTCCTGACCAGAACATTTTTGCTTAACGGCGCTGCGTTACTTTAACTGACAATTGCGTGGTCATGCAATGCTGCACCCAAATTACATTTGCGTCCTTTTTTTTCCCATGAATTGAGCTTTCTTTCTGTGGTATTTGATCATCTTTTGTGCTTTATAAAAAAAAGACCGACAATTTTGAGAAAACAACATTTTTGACTTTTTGCTATTAAACATGTTCAGTGAAAAAATGTTAAAAATCTAATTTCGTCAGAAATTTAGGCCAAAATGTATTCTGCTTGATGTCTTTGCTAAAAAACAAAATCCCAATACGTGTAAATGATTTGGTTTACGTGAAAGTTATAGCGTTTATAAATGGCAGTATATATACTGGGATTTTTTTTTTTCCATTTTATTTTTACTAGTAATGGCGGTGTTCAGTGACTTATAGTGGGACTGTGGGACTGTGGCAGGCATTCTGACACGGGGGGAACTGACTTGGTGTCAGTGACATCCCCAGTGATACCAATACAGTGATCAATGCTAAAAAAAAACACTGACACTGTACTAATGGCACTGAGCAGGAAGGGGTTAACAAGAGGGGCGATCAAATGTGCTGGGTGTGATTTACTAGGGGGCTGTGTCCGTGCTTCACTGTAAGCACATTGCTTTGGATGGCTGTACTGTGCACAGCCATCCAAAGCAGTGTGCACAAGCCAACAGGAAGAAGAACTGTTTTGTTTACAAACAGCTCTCCTCCCTGTCGGAGATCTTCGGCAATCACCGGGCGCCGGCGAGTAATCACCGGCCGGGACGCGGTAAATGACAGCCGTGGCCGCAAATGGTGGTCAGGGGAAGGGCGCATGCACACCCCCTACCCGGAAATGCGAAATCAAGTATATATACGTGATTTTCGACACACATGCCGCACCGGTAGCAGTATTTCTGCTATAGGGCGGTTGGGAAGCGGTTAAGGGAAAAAAGCTCTCCAAACCTGCCTGACCCCATAAGAAAAAGTAATTGCCCCCTCTTTGCTAAATCATGAATGAACTGTGATTAGCCACATTTTTTGGAAATTACATTTTTTGGAGTTAAATTTCACCTGTCACGCCTGAATATTGCCAGACCTGTTGAATCAAGAAAAAAACTGAAATAGAAGCTGTCTGACAAAGTGAAGCATGCTAACAGATCTCAAAAAGCAACACATCATGCTGCAATCTAAAAAAAAGAAAAGATGAGAAACAATGCAATTGACATGTATCAGTCTGGAAAGGGTTACAAAGCCATTTCTTAGGCTTTGGGATTCCAGCAAACCATGGTAAGAGCCATTATCCACAAATGGAGAAAATGTGAAACAGCTGTGAACCTTCCCAGGAGTGGCTGGCCTTCCAAATTTATTCCAAGAGCACAACAACGACTCATCCAGGAGGTCATAAAAGAACCCAGAACAACATCTAAAGAACTTGCAGGCCTCACATGCCTCAATTAAGGTCAGTGTTCAAGATTCAACAATAAGAAAGACTAGGAAAAATGGCCTCCATGGGAGAGTTCCAAGGAGAAAGCCACTGCTGACCAAAAAGAACACAAAGGCTCATCTCACATTTGCCAAAAAACATCTTGATTTTCCCCAAAACTTTTAGGTAAATATTCTGTGGACTGATGAGAGAAAAGTTGATCTTTTTTGGAAGGTGTGTGTCCGTTACATCTGGTGAAAAACTAACACAGCATTTCATAAAAGAACATCATACCAACAGTGAAACATGGTGGTGGTAGTGTGATGGTCTGGGGCAGCTTTGCCGCACCAGGACCTGGACAACTTGCCATAATTGATGGAACCCTGAATTCTGCGCTCCACCTGAAAATCTTGCAGGAGAATGTCCAGCCATCAGTTTGTGACCTCATGCTCAAGCGCACTGGGGTTATACAGCAGGGGGTTTAGGGGGGCAATTACTTTTTCACATAAGGCAAGGCAGGTTTGGACAGCTTTTTTCCCTTAATAAAGGAAATCATCATTTTAAAAAACGTGCATTTTATATTTACGCGGATTATCTTTGTGTGATATTAAAACTTATTTGATGATCTGAATCATTTAAGTGTGACAAATACTATATGCAAAAAAAAAAAATAAATCAGGAATGGGGCAAATACTTTTTCACAGCACTGATATATATAAAATATATCTAAATACTGCGTATAGCTCATCAGACCTTGGATGTGGATGTGGTGGCTGCAATAACCTATTCTAGGTTTCTTGTCATTTATTTTCACCCAATAACTTAGTTAGGAATGTTCGTCCTGTCATGAAGTGACAACGCTCACACTCACTCTCTCTGTGGAGGAATAGCGTTGTCATTCCAGGCTTCTTTCCTGAAGACGGATGCCTCCTCCTCTATTCATCTCCATTACATTGGTGGGAAGTGTTCTGTGGGTCACATAAGATAACTGGGAAAGCTGATAACATTGAGATTACATTTGGGAGCATAGGATGGTACAAGGACACTGGAATACTGGCAAAATCAACAGCTATTTTTTTGTTCTTGCAAAAAAAAAGTAACCTTTAGGAGGAACCCCAGAGTTCATTTAAACCCTGGTAGAAAAAGGTAGGTCTAGACTGGGACCCTTGTAAACACAACCAAGAACAGTCCTTGTACCCACAAATGCTTTTAAGTGCAAAGGTTAGGGGTGTGTAACACATACAGTGCAGGGGCCAGGAGTATGTAATGCACAGAATGCAGGGGACAGGAGTACACAATGCACAGAGTGCAGGGGACAGGAGTACACAAAGCACAGAGTGCAGGGGACAGGAGTACACAAAGCACAGAGTGCAGGGGACAGGAGTACACAATGCACAGAGTGCAGGGGACAGGAGTACACAATGCACAGAGTGCAGGGGACAGGAGTACACAAAGCACAGAGTGCAGGGGACAGGAGTACACAATGCACAGAGTGCAGGGGACAGGAGTACACATAATGCACAGAGTGCAGGGGACAGGAGTGCACAATGCACAGAGTGCAGGGGACAGGAGTATACATAATGCACAGAATGCAGGGGACAGGAGTACATAATGCACAGAGTTCAGGGGACGGAGGACGTAATGCACAGAGTGCAGGGGATGGAGTATATAATGCACAGAGTGCAGGGGACAGGAGTACGTAATGCACAGAGTGCAGGGGACAGGAGTACGTAATGCACAGAGTTCAGGGGACAGGAGTACGTACAATGCACAGAGTTCAGGGGACAGGAGTACGTAATGCACAGAGTTCAGGGGACAGGAGTACGTAATGCACAGAGTTCAGGGGACAGGAGTACACAATGCACAGAGTGCAGGGGACAGGAGTACGTAAGTGCACAGAGTTCAGGGGACAGGAGTACACAATGCACAGAGTTCAGGGGACAGGAGTACATAATGCACAGAGTTGAGGGGACAGGAGTACATAATGCATAGTCTTGCAAAGAAAGGAACCTTTAGGAGGAACCCCAGAGTTCATTTAAACCCTGTGTAGAAAAAGGTAGGTCTAGACTGGGACCCTTGTAAACACAAGTGCAAGAACAGGAGTCCTTGTACCACAAATGCAGAGTTTAAGTGCAGAGGTCAGGGGACAGTGTACGTAATGCACAGAGTTCAGGGGACCAGGAGTATGTAATGCACAGAGTTCAGGGGACAGGAGTACGTAATGCACAGAGTTCAGGGGACAGGAGTACGTAATGCACAGAGTTCAGGGGACAGGAGTACGTAACATGTGTGTGAAGTAATCATAAGCATAAAAACCGTGGTTAACAATAGTTAACGGTGGGGTGGTAACCCGGGTGAAGAGCCGTCATCTCTCTGCGATGTGGGGAGGTCAGCTCTCGGCTGGAACAGCGTGGTGGCTGGAGGGGGAACAGTGGGGGAACAGTGGTGAGGCCAGCCTTCATGCACGTCCTCCCTCAAAGCCGGATGGAACGCACGCTGGAACGTAGCGGCGGCGTGGCCGTGATGACGTCAGATCCCAGGGTGCACTGTGACGCGTTTCGGAGCATGCACTGGCCGTGGAAGGCGGAAGTGCACTCCTTTTTCAAGCAGCTTATGCTTATGATTACTTCACACATGTGTGTGTTTCTACATTTAGACTTGAATTAAAAGACTTATTGCACTTAGAGGCGCTTCTCTCCTTTTTCTCATCTACAGAAGTTGCTACAGCTTATTTGGAAGCCTTGCCCTCAATGCCACACGGAATCCTACGCTCTTCATACAGCAGCCACTAATACCACCATCACCCATACTACCATTTCCCAGGACTTTGCAGTGTTTGCGCTGTTACAACCCTTCCTCATTTTTTCTGACAGGAGTACGTAATGCACAGAGTTCAGGGGACAGGAGTACGTAGTGCACAGAGTTCAGGGGACAGGAGTACACAATGCACAGAGTTCAGGGGACAGGAGTACACAATGCACAGAGTTCAGGGGACAGAGTACACAATGCACAGAGTTCAGGGGACAGGAGTACATAATGCACAGAGTTCAGGGGACAGGAGTACATAATGCACAGAGTTGAGGGGACAGGAGTACATAATGCATAGTCTTGCAAAGAAAGGAACCTTTAGGAGGAACCCCAGAGTTCTTTTAAACCTTGGTATAAAAAGGCAGGTCTAGACTGGGACCCTTGTAAACACAACCAAGAACAGTCCTTGTACCCACAAATGCTTTTAAGTGCAGAGGTCAAGGGTGTGTAACACA